AACTAATGTATGAGTACCTCTTAGTGCTACATGGATTCCTTCAAAGAGTTAAGAGGTCCTAAGAGCCTTTGAATTCAAGGATTTTGGGTTAAGATACAAATCTAAACTCCTAATAGTTTGAATAAAGTAACAAAGTGACTTAGTTTCTTCCGTTTCTCTCCTAGATATTTAATATTACTCTTAGACCAAATTATACCCCAATTATAATCTCTTTTATTTTCACTCAAAAATCTTTCTTTCGGATATATATGTTTTGCTAATTTTCTTTTATATTTCTTAATTTGGTTTGATATTTCTATTGCTTGGTTTGGATTAGAAATAGTTCTCATACTTGGAGGAACTATCCATACTAGACCAGGAAATCCTATTACTTGGAACTTCATTATTATTCATATTAACTTCTATTCCCTTACAAGAAAACAAAATATGATTATTACTTCGAACACTTTAGCTTTAATACCAAACTTTTGATAGGATTGAATTAATAAAAGATTTAGTCAAGAAAATTCCTTGTCTAGGAATTCCAAATCCTCAAGTCTTCCTAATAGTAGAAACAGATGTTTCGAGTTAGGATATGAGGGAATTTTATAACAAAAAGTTCAAAAATCTTTTAAAAAAGAAATTGTTAGATATCCTTTTGATATCTGCAATCCAACTCAACAAAAATACTTAATTGTTAATAAAGAAATTTTGTCAATAATAACACAAATATTTATTATAATGATTATATAAAAAACATATTTTAATATAAAAATTGGAAATTCAATTATTAACATAGGTTACCATGTATATATTATCATATTTTGCCATATATGCTACAGTTTTCTTTTATAACATATATTTAATTTGGAGGACGGAAAAACAAACATTACTAACTTAATTGTTTTCTCAACAATTGTAATTAACATGTATCTTTACAATGATTAATTATCAAAAGAAAAATTTATATATGATTATTTTTCATGGAACGCATAAAATATATTACTAGAAATTGTGATATACATAATGAAAAAGATATATTATTTTAATTTATTACGTTGATTAAACTCTGACGTTAATATAAAAGGCGTAACTTTATATTAAAGTAACTATCCAACGTGTCAAAATTTATGGCTATTAAATTTATTATTCACATAAATTTATGCATGTATTTTGAGAGAATTCATTTTCCCTCTCTTAATAACCATAGTGTAAGATTTGTATTTGGTGACACGCTTTTTAGTTTATTTGTCAAAAGTCATTAAAGAGGGGTGATTTCAGAGAAGTGATTTTTATTTTTTTTATTTTTTAACATCAATAACAATTTAATTAAGAAATTCATATATTTATTAAAAAAAATATTAATTATCCACATATAATTTATCGAAAAACAAATAATTATCAACTAATAAACATTATTAAAAAATATAAAATATTTAAAAAAACTAATCTTATCATCAATATATTAATCGATAATTTAATAATTAATTACCGACTATACTTAACCGTCAATATTTGTGGACTTTTTTCTTTTTACTCCCCTTTCACTTAATTTCCTCCATGGAAAATAATACTTTGACAACTTAAATCCATATAACTCCTATAAATAACTCTCTTTTAATATTATAATAATAATTTTGTTTTAATTTTTATTTATATTTAATCATTTTATTGATTATTATATTAATAAAAATGAATTATTTAAAGAAATTTATTTTCTTTTGATTTCAAAATATCACCACTCTTTCCTCCACAGACTCGTTCATGGCACAGACCCATCACCCCCAACCACCTCTTCGCCACGCCACTGTGAATTGCCATACGTGGCCTCCGCGGCTCGCGCCACCCCCCAAACCCCTATGACAACCCAAACCTCCGCAAGTCACCACCCAGCACCACCACTAGCCTTCCGTGAGTCACCTTCCCACTCATGCCGCAGCTGCCGTTAGTGGTGCCCTCGGGGCAGCGTCGAGGCCCCTGTTCAAAGGTGAGGTCGGGATCCAACTTTCCTGTGGAGCCCCTTGTTTTGGGTTTCCTTTGTTTGTTTTATTTGCTTTATGTTTCTACCTTATTTTGCTTCTAATGATTTCGAGGGTTTTGCTTCTGATGATTTAGTTTTGTTGATTTTTAATATCTTGGATGTTTCTGTTTCTGATTTAGGGTCTGCCAAATGTTATGTAATGTCGTGTGTGGTTTTAGCTTGGTTTTGTTCAGTTTATCTGATTGTGGATATGGGCTGCTAGGAATTTCATACTATTATGCGCGGATTTTTAATATGTTGATTGATTCTGATGGGTGGATTAGTCTAAAGGGGGATGCGAAATTTCTTGTTGGGTTCCTTGGTTGCCTGTTGTTGGTACCATCGCACTTTTAGAATCGGACTTAAAACAGGTGGTGCTATTATTGTTTGTTGAAGTGGTAATATGACATGTATCTGGTTGTATTAGGAGGTTCCAGCCAGTCCAAGAATTTCTTTTTTCTATATTTTGCCATAGCAAGACATTTAGGTACTAGGTAATCTGAATTTTTACTTGTAATTATAATTTTTGTTTATGATTTCAATAGTTTTAAGGAAAATAACTCTCTTAAAGAAATATTCTACATAGACTAGTATCATGTTCATAATTGTAAATATGTGCACGTTACAAGCTTATTAATTTTAACTATAATTTCATATGAAGGTTCAATGAAGATTGGAACATGAAAATCAAATAAAGAAGAATTTTCATTCCAAAACATCTCACAGACTTAATGAGATGTTTAAGGACACAAGAATTGCTGGCCAAAGGCTAGATTGGATTGGAGAACATGTTTGGAGCAAGTTACTAGAATATTGGAGCTCACCCATGTATCGCTCTAAATGTGTGTTGGCCGATAAGAACAGGGTATTTGAAAAGGGGAAAGCCTACACACAGGTGGCTCCATCACCACACATTAACATGTCATGCGTATGGTAAGTCTTGTAAACATATATTTAGGATTATATAAGGCTAACTAAGTTGTATATAATTCTTATTTTGTCAATGTGATGCAGACAAAAGAGCTTGGGAGATCAGTGTTTGTTGATGAGATCTTCTAGCAGACCCATATAAGAAAAAATACAGGTCAATTTGTTGATGAAAGGTCTAGGAAGACATATGTAAGTTCCTTCACTTTTGATTTATTTTATGATATGTAAAGTTGACCATATCACAACATTTCTTTGTTTGTTCTAATAGGAGGAATTTCATACTAGACTTTCACAAGCTAAGTCATCTGTTGGTTCCTGTGTTGGCGAAACAGAGTCTACTCCTACATACTCTACAAAGGATGATCTTATTAGATCTCGTTACTGGTTGGACACTGTTGGAGGAAAAAATAAGGGAAGATTATATGGAGTTGGACAACTTGTTCATGGTTACTAGGGTGGGTCTGATACTCTCAAGCATCATACTCAAACATCCAACTCCTCTGTTAATTTTGAAGAGATGAATCAACTGAGGGAACGATTATCTGCACGAGAAGAAGAGATTCATCGAACAAGGGAGCATAATGAGCGACTAGAGCACCAATTTCGGAAGTTTCAATAACAACAATTTCAATTTCAATCAAAATATAAAGATATAAAACATTAACATTAATCATACCGTAGATACTCAAATATTTCAATTCAATTGAAGAGAATAGTTCAGAATTACTAATAGGTCATAATAATAATGTGACTGTCACTCATCATAGCTGAAAAATGCCTAGAAAATTCACATAATAGTCACTCAATAAAAAAAATCTAGTGCGTACGAAAAAGATGAACCACTGAAACGTTAAATAATGTAAGATTTGATGTAAGAATTTATTTTAATTTAAAAATATCACTACATTTTGTTTGTTATAAAAAATATAATTAACTTATAAGAAAAGATTGGCATAAACATAAGTTATAATAATAATTATATTTATTTATACACTATAATATTATTATATATTTAATTAAAAAGAAATTTTATCACACTTTCTCATTTAAATAAAGAAATTTTCAATTTCTCGAATATCTTGCATGGTAGTCTATCCATTATTTTGATCCCTTGTTTGTTTTTGTTTAGGGAAAGGAAATAAAAAGGACAATATACCTCGGAATTTCTTGAAGCAATATGTTGTTGGTTGTGAAAACGTCACCAACTCAACCTTATGGTTTATAGTTTACTTGGTTTTTCATACATCATTGTCAAACTAAACATTGAAACAATTAATGCCACGTAGTGCTGTTGGTAAAGTGCAAATGCAGCGAAAAACATTCTCTAACTAACCATTCAAATTAATTCATTAGTGATAAATATTACATTACACATATAAATAGAGCTTATGCATCACTTAATGCAATATCTTGGGAACCTTGATAGCAAACTTCACATTTCATTTTGGGTTGGTATAATCATTTTAGTATATTTATTTAAGAACTAGTTAATTATAACATAATATAGTTCAAATTTAACTAAAAATTTTAAGCTAAATTCCAGAGTATAAAGCTATATTAAATATTAAAAAGAAAACTTCATTAGATGTTATCAAAAGTATATTTGTGATTGAAAAAATACAAGTCCCATTCTACTTTTTAAAAGTAATTAGAAACATTAATTTCCTATAATATATTTAGTGAAAATACTTCTAACCAGTGTCTGTAATTTATTAAGCAAGTATATTTAATTATCAGTGATCTTATCAATTATAGGCACCTCATTCAAATTATTTACACAAAATAATTACTATATAGAATCCAAGACATTAATCTAAGAGTTAATGAAAGTGTGATTTTTCAATTATACTCAAAAGTGGGTGATAAGTTTGAATTTTTTGCTTGGAAAATATGAATTTCAGCAACATGCAAAAGCTTCAAAATGAATCATGCTAGCTTCACCTACCACTCACAACCTAGCTAGATTAGATACATGATAAAACTACATCTTCTGGCTCTCACCAACCGGTTTGAAGAAGCTTCAAAAGGGAGGAAGAGATGTGGTGAGAAACAAAGATCAAACTGCATGTAAATGGCAAAGGCACATCAGATAGTGGTAGGGAGCACTTGGGGAATCAGAAACATTTTCCAATCCCTTGTAGCCATCTTAACCACAACTCTAGTTGTCACTGCCATTTATCTAACACAAGAAGGAGAACACTGGTCTCATCAAAGAAACAAGTTAAATTCATTGTCAAAATGTAACCTGTTCTCTGGCAAGTGGGTTTTTGATAATGAATCATATCCACTCTACAAGGAGCAACAATGCACGTTCATGTCTGATCAATTGGCTTGTGAGAAGTTTGGAAGGAAGGACCTTAGCTATCAGAATTGGAGGTGGAAACCTCACCAATGTGACTTACCCAGGTCTTTCTCTCTCACATTTTTTCAAGATATATTTCTTAAATTTTCAATTAAGAAATCTATATAATATTTGTAAACTTGAGAGATTAAAATAATTTGTGCCTGAATATTAAGTATTATTCCTTCTCTGTTAATAAGGTTCAATGCCACAGCATTGCTTGAAAGGCTAAGGAACAAGAGGTTGGTATTTGTGGGGGATTCACTGAACAGAGGCCAATGGGTTTCGATGGTTTGCCTTGTAGAATCTTCTGTTCCCCCAACTCTGAAATCCATTCGAACTATTGCAAATGGATCCCTCAACATTTTCAAGGCTAAAGTAAGTCTTCAGAAGTAGAAACAATAACACATTAACATATACTTTCACATCTTCCTCCATTTCTTTGAGATGAGATTAACTATGGTGAAATGAAGGAATACAATGCAACGATCGAGTTCTATTGGGCCCCATTGTTGGTAGAATCAAACTCAGATGATCCAGTGAATCACAAGGTGGCAGAACGAAGTGTGAGAGTGCAGGCCATAGAGAAGCATGCTAGGTACTGGACTGATGCAGACATTGTGGTTTTCAACACTTTCCTCTGGTGGAGAAGGCGAGCAATGAATGTTGTGTAAGTACAAACTCACCAACCCATCACTTTCTTTTCTTCAACTCCAATTTCCAACCACCATCTATCTACTCTCCATGTGACTGTGTTCCAATGTTTCCAATGTTCCAATGTCTTAATTTGAATAGTGACAGTGTAACATAACATAACATGTGAACAGGTGGGGTTCATTTGGTGACCCAAATGTGGTAATGAAAAGGGTAGGAATGGTGAGGGTGTATGAAATGGCCTTGAGGACATGGTCAGATTGGTTGGAAATCCATATTAATCGCACTAAGACAACCTTGTTCTTTGTTTCTATGTCACCAACTCACCAAAAGTAAGTGTCAGACAAACTCCAAGTTAATTTACCATCATTATATATGAGCTTATGACCTATGATCTAATTTAGAGTTGCAACATTAAAAAATACAGGGCACATGAATGGGGAGGAGTTAGGGGTGACAATTGCTACAATGAAAAAGATCAAATTAGAGAAGAAGGGTATTGGGGAAATGGTTCAATTCCAAGTATGATGAGAGTGGTGGAAAATGTGATTGAAGATTTGAATGGAAGAGGGTTGAAAGTTGAACTGCTTAACATCACACAGCTCTCAGAGTATAGAAAAGAAGGGCACCCATCAATCTATAGAAAGCAATGGGAGCCTCTAACTGAAGAACAGTTATCAAATCCAAAATCTTATGCTGATTGCATACATTGGTGCCTCCCTGGTGTGCCTGATGTGTGGAATGAGCTTCTATATGCTTATATTTTCCATAGATCACTAACTTCTGACACAAAAAATTAAGTTTGGAAGATAGTTTTTTGCATGTCAAGTTTTTTTTTTCTTTGTTATGTTCTTCTCTTGTTGATGTGGTGAGGAGAGTTGAAGTGTAAAGATTGTTGCCTCTCCTAATCCTTTTGAAATGTCATGTTAGTTTTGTTTATGCTAAATTACAGTTTTAGTTCTCATTCAATTTTTCATGTGATTATAATTTTTTATTTTTTATTTTTTATTTTAGTTTTAGTCTCCAAATTTAGATATGTAATTTTAATATATCTTTACTCTTAAATGTTTTATTTAGGTTTACTTTCACGTTAAGCTTGATATATCATTTAAAATATCGTTAATATTAAAATGAAATAATTTAATCAAATAAGATAAAAAATTAAGAAAAAAGTATGAAATATCGTATAAAATCCTAATTAATTTATGAAAGATTTTTTATCATCTTATAATTATTAAACTATTGTTTTCATTTTTAATTTTTACCTTAAAAAAGTTAAAAAAAAAAGTTAGGCTAAATTGTAACTTAGTGTTCATTTAATTTCAAATCCATAATTCTAATCTTCATTTTTTTCGCAATTTTAGTTTTAATTTATCTAATACTTAATTTTATATATGATTTATTTATTTATTTTCAATTTATATATAAATTCAACATATTAACTTAAAATATTATTAAAAAATAATTTAAATTAATTATAATATAAAAAATAACAAATCTATATAAAATTGAAGATTAAAAGCGTTGAATATAGAAGAAATAGAGTTTGAGATTAATCTCCCTTGTGTATAAATCATACATAGGGTAATCTATATTTATAATAGAGAGATACAACTAAAAGAGTAACTGAAAGTAATAGAATAAACACAAGATATTGTTTGATATTATGGTTAACAATATCTAATAATATCTTAACAATATTAAATAATATCTAAACAATATCTAACACTCTGCCTCAAGTTGGAGCATACAAATTGTATGTGTTAAGCTTGTTACAAATATAATCAATTCTAGGCCCCGTAAAGATTTAGTAAAAATATCTGTTAACTGATCACTTGAGTTAACAAACTCAGTCTTGATGTCTGCAGACATAATCTTTTCTCGAATGAAATGACAATCAATCTCAATGTGTTTGATCCTCTCATGAAAGACAAGATTATAGTTAATATGAAGAGCAATCTGATTGTCACACACAAGTGACATTTGAGTGACATCTCCAAATTGTAACTCTCTAAGAAATTGCTTGAGCCAAACAAGTTCACAGGTAGCTGATATCATAACTTTATATTCTACTTCTACAATAGATCTTGTCACAACACTCTGTTTCTTACTTTTTCATGAGACCAAGTTACCACCAATGGAGATACAATATCCAGATGTAGATCTTCTATCCGAAGGAGATCCTGCCCAATCAACATCTGAGTAGCAAACAACTCTTGTATGGTTATTAGAACCATATGACAATCCTTTTCCAGGAGATCCTTTAATATACTTCAAGATACGAATGACTGCATTTCAATGATCTTCACATGGGGAATTAAGAAATTGGCTTACCACACTGACTGCAAAGGAAATGTCAGGACAAGTATCTGTAAGATAATTCAATTTTCCAACCAATCTTCTATATTGCTCAGGATCAGGTATAAGCTCCCCCTGATTTGGTAGAAGTTTAGTATTGTGATCCATAGGTGTATCAACGGACTTTGAACTCATCAACCCAGTTTCCTCCAAAATATCCATGACATACTTCTTCTTAGATATAACAATATCATCATTGGACTGTGCCACCTCAATACCCAAGAAATATCTAAGTTTGCCAAGATCTTTTGTCTGAAAATAGTGTCAGAGATGTTGTTTCAACTGAGAGATGTCATGGTTGTCACTACATGTAAGAACGATGTCATCAACATATACTATCAAGTAAACACATCCAGCACTCAAGTGTTGATAAAAGACAAAGTAATCTGCTTCACACTGAGTCATACCAAATTGTTGAACAACCTTGCTAAACTTTCCAAACCAGGCCCTAGAAGACTGTTTTAGGCCATATAGGGATTTGCGAAGACGACATACCATCCCAGAAGGCTCCCTCTGAGCAACAAACCCAGGAGGTTGCTCCATATAGATTTCTTCTTGCAAATCACCATTGAGGAAAACATTTTTAACATCAAAGAGGTCATTGTTGAAGAGCGGTCATGACGATAAATAAACGAACAGAAGTCATCTTTGCTACGGGGGAAAAGTATCTCCATAATCCAACCCAAAAATTTGAGTATAACCTTTGGCCACAAGACGATATTTGAGGCGATCAATAGTATCATCAGGTCTAACTTTGATAGCAAACACCCACATGCAACCAACAACAAATTTCCCAGACGATAACGAGACCAATTCCCAAGTTCCACTATTATGAAGAGCACTTAGTTCATCTAACATGGCCTGACGTCAACCAGGATGGGCTAAAGCTTCACGGATAGTTTTTGGAATGGTCACAGAAGAAAGAGAGGAAAGATATGTATAAAAAGGTAATGACAGTCGATGATAATTCAAACCAATATAATGGGGAGAGGGATTACGTGTAGAACAGATACTTTTTCGGAGAACAATAGGAAGGTCAGACTCAGGTATCACATCCGGAGGAGACAGAGTAGTTGACACTTGAGTGGAGTCACATGGTAGTTGTGATTGGTTTCGGCAACTATAAACCTGAAGAGGCGGTGAAGAAGAAGCTGACTATGGAGCAGAAACTAATGGTGAAGAAGACACAGTTAGAGGGTCACAAACAACAGGGACATTAAATGTACTAGGAGTATTGACAAGATTGGATGGAGACGGAGGTGAAGATTGACTTTTAAAATAAAAAAGAGAACTCATCAAAGGTGACATCTACAGACACAAAATAACGGTTAAGAGAAGGAGAAAAATATTTGTATCATTTTTGTGATCTTGTAAATCCTAAGAAAACACATTTATGTGATCTAAGAGAAAGTTTGTCAAGACCAGAGCTGAAATTATGAACAAAACATGTAGACCCGAAAACTCTTAGAGGTAAGGGATGAAGTGGTTCATGAGGGAATAAAATGGAATGAAATATTTTATTATCTAAAATCGAAGAATGCATGCGATTAACGAGATAACATGCAGTAAGAAAAGCATCACCCCAAAAATGCTGAGAACCTCTTTATGAATTAAAAGAATGCGAGTTGTTTCAATAAGATGTCTATTTTTACGTTCAGCTACACCATTTTGTTGAGGTGTATAAACACAAGAAGTTTGATGCAAAATACCATGAGAAGCCAAAAATTGTTTAAAAGAATGAGAAAGATATTCACGATCATTATTACTGCGCAAAACTCTAATAGAAACACCGAACTGAGTTTGTATTTCATTATAAAAAGATTGAAAGATATGAAATACTTCAGAATGATTTTTCATCAAAAATAACCAAGTACATCTGGAATAATTATCAATGAAGGTAACAAAAGTATTGAAAACCTAAAGTAGAATTAACGCGACTAGGTCCCCAAATGTCAGAGTGAACCATGACAAAAGGGGACGAAGTACCACGTGTGACACTATGAGAAAAGGAAGTACGACTATGCTTGCCTAATTGACACGACTCACATGCCAAACTAGACAACTTAGATAAGGCAGGGACAAGCTGTTGTAACTTGGCAAGACTTGGATGACCTAACTGAGCATGAAGAAGAGAGGGAGACTTCAGAACTGCACCAACATGTGTAAAGGGACGAATATGATAAAGACCATGAGACTCACATCCTGTGCCAATCACCTGTTTCAAACTCCGATCCTGTAAACACACAGAATTATTGGTAAAAGAAATAACACAATCAAGAGAACGAATTAGACGACTGATGGATAACAGGTTAAAAGGAAACTCAGGGACATAAAGAACATTATCAATGGTTAAATAAGGGAAGTTTAACAGTTTCAACACCATGAGATGATACTCTAGAGCCATCAACCAGTGTAATAGAAGGTAAAGGATTAGGAGAGGATAAAGAGGAGAACAAAGATGTTTTACTAGTAATATGATCAGTGGTTCTTGAATAAAAAACCCAAGGACCAAAAGAAGATTGGGTCAGACCAGCAAAAGATGTACCTGTGTGTGCGACAGACACAATGGAACTAGAATACTGTTGATCCTTATACCATTTGAGAAATTTATTGAACATAGCAAGTGTGTCGGATGAAATAGAAGAAGGAGGATCCTTAACAGATAAAGGTGGCGAATGATCAGTCTGAACAACTACAGTAGATCGAGGAGGACGACCATGTAATTAATGTATAACACTTGTCAATCTTGTGACCTAGTTTGCCACAATGTTCACACTCATGTAATGCATAACATTGGTCAATCTTGTAACCTAGCTTGCCACAATATTCACACTTAGGACGTCTTTTTCCCTGTTTGCGAGGACGAGTTCGGTCATCATGGTGAGATACCAATGCAGAAGAATCATTAGCAGAAGCAGGTGTGTCAGTATTGGATTTTACTAGTACAAGCAAAAGAGTGGAGCAGGTCAAAGTCAAGGTGGGGACAATCGGAGAACCCAAAATCTGATCATGAATATGTGAATATTGATAAGCAAGTCCGTGTAATGCCCTTAGCATGAAGAACTTTGATCGTTGTGCTATCTCGGTGGCAGGGTCGGGGGAAGGAGGCAATAACTCATTGAACTCATGAAAAAGAGCATGAATTTTGCCCATATAATTAGTCATAGAATCTTGATGTTTAGAGGCAATAACATCTACAAATTTAGAACAGACATCATAGAGACGTTGAGTATCATTGGTGTATAATAACTTGGCATGTTCCCAGATTTTGGCACATGTTTCGTAGGAACGAAAAATTTGTTTTAATGAAGGATCAAAAGTACCCTTGAGAACCACACATAATTGAGCATCAATGGTGTCCCAACGGTCTTCCTCACCAGGAGTGAGAGTAGGTGCTTTCGGGGCAAGATGATCAAGATACTTTTGACTCTTAAGCCATAATCTGACGTCTGATGACCATGTCGCATAATTAGGGCCAGTTAACTTATCAATGGATAAATGCACATTAATATAGTTAGTGTAGATGGAAGGATCAGACGCAGTACTGACAGAATTGAAAGTACTAAAAGGAGCAGAATAAGTCATAAAGGGTGGAAGCGGCAGTGACAGCGGCGTGAACCAGTACACTAGGTAAGTTCCCAGGAAAGAGAGGTAGGTCACTAATGGACACGCTTAAATACAAAGTCTTTCCTTGTCAGAACCTTCCTAGACATGCACTTTCATACTACCAAATAATATCCAATAACAAAAATAATTCTTTTCTGACGTGGAAGATCAATTTAACCGGCAGTGATAGTGGTGGTTCCAACAGTGGTCAAAGGCGAAAAAAATTTCAAAATAACCTTAAGCTCTAGATATCATGTTAAATATAAAAGAAATAGAGTTTGAGATTAATCTCCCTTGGGTATAAATCACACATTGGGTAATCTATTTATAATAGAGAGATACAACTGAAAGTAATAGAATAAACATAAGATAATGTGGTTAACAATATCTTAACAATATCAAATAATATCTAAACAATATCTAACAAAAAGAAAAATCACAAATTGGAAATTAGAAATTAACTAGACCAAAATTGTAATTTAATTATTTTTAACATGATAAACCCTAAACCTAAACCCTTTTTTCGTTCAATTCTTAAATAAGGAACTAGCCTATATTATTAGGATTATACCTATTTTATTACGTATACTTATTACATAAGTTTATATAAATGAATTAGAATAAATGTACTTCAATATATTATTTGCATAATAAAAAATAAAATATATCATACAAATCTTTAAAAACTTGAAATAAAGTAAGAGTGATACCATATTGTAAAATGAAAGATCAAGTTAATTTTAGAATGGTTTTAAAAAAGTTACTTATTATCTGTATCTTCAATTTTACGTTGTACAATGATTCGAATAAATATTTAATGTTTAACCATCAAAATTAGAGAAAAATAAATGGTAAAAATTTATACTTACTCTTGAAATAATTTGTTGTCTCCTCATTTATTATTACAAATAATAAAGTAGACATTTTCTCAAACGAGTAGTCCCTAAACTGAAACGTATTTGGTTTAGCTTATTTTAGAAAAAAAATCGCTATTTTTCAACTTCATGAGAATCTTTTTTTTTTTTTTTTGTTATTAATATAAACTAACACGCATATAGAAAAATGCATTATGCATTCAAGCTGATAGATAGGTTGATACTATAGACTTGATTCAAATAATAAGTATCAAATCATGGACACGCGGTGGTTAACCAAATGGAACTCAAAGACTATCGATCTGTGTTGAAAATCCAAGACTTACCAAAGACAAAGGCATTAGCGTTACCAAGATCCAAAATGTTGACGTTTTGAAATATGTTTGACTCAATATCTTCCATCTAATGACAAAACCACCATAAATGAATAAGATAGGCACAATAGAACTGCATCAAGCATGGAATACCGAACTAGGCAGTGTCTGTTGCAGGTTGGGTTACGCCAAACTTCACCAACAGCTTAGTCAAGGAATCTGGGGAGCAAACTTCATACTTCACTTTACCAGAGGGTGACAGAAAAATCTCGGCAAGTTCAAGCTTTTCTGAAGTCAGACTTGTGCTGTCCATGGTTTTACTTAAAACCTTCAGTGCAAGTTGAACTGCTTCTTCTCTTGTGATATCATCCTTGTAGTCCTGTTTCAGTATTGATTGTGCTGCCTGGTTATTTGCACCAATGGCTCCAGCTTTCCAGCCACCATAATTTCCACTAGGGTCACTCATGTAAAGCTGAAAGCCAAAGTTTTTGTCCCATCCTGCAAACAGAAATGAGACCCCAAATGGTCGAAGACCACCAAATTGAGTGTACCCTTGCTTGGTATCACAGAGAGACTGAACTAGCTGCTCAACTGGCATTGGCTCTTGATAAGCATAAGTGTAGCGTTGAGCTTGGACCCTTGCAGTATTGATTAGAATGTTGGCATCAGACATTATCCCAGCCACTGCGCATGCAACATGATCATCAATCTTGTACATTTTCTCGGTGGAGGTTGAGGTTTGGAGCAGCTTGGATGTGACCTTTTTTTCACCAACCAGCACAACCCCATCTTTTGATAAGATCCCTATTGCGGTACCAGCGTTACCGATAGCTTCCATTGCGTATTCCACTTGGTAAAGACGTCCTTCGGGGGAGAAGATTGTCGTACGGCTATCATATCTTCGGGACATTTTGATCTCTGAATACTACTGAGCTAAGCAAAATAGCAAACATGTAAAATAAAAGGAATTAAACACGTATTTCCTAGGTTGAAGCAGAAAGGAAAACAAACAATTAGCATTCTGATACTTTTTTTCTATACACCTACAAGCTTATCAGAATATTATAAATTTTAAAAGATAGTAAAACAATGGAGTGATCTAAATTCCCCTGAGCTACCCCCAATCCTGTGGCTCTTACAGTAAAAATCAATTCTCACCATCTTAAAAATAATTAAAGCCTCTTTATCATACATTAGTGTTTCAAGGTAAGAAAATCATTAGATTGACAATATAGGCTTACACACCACTAAAGTTCCCACTCTGCATTACGAGAATAAGTAAGAAAGAATAAGAGTTAAGCACGTGACTTGTATTCAAAGAATATAGAGCTCCCAGATGCAATTAGGAAAAGTGAAAGGAAGTAAAAGACAGGAAGAACAAGATAACATTTCAAATTCCTTATATAAAATGAAGTGATTATCATTACGCACAATACATTGACAAAATAACATGAATCTGCTCCCGGACCATTCATAACATGGAAACAGTAATGAGCTTTTTCTCTAAAGCTATTGTGGCTTTACCTCTCGTTTAAAAAAGGAGTTTTTTTCTCTAAAAACAACATAAATTGTGAAATCACATAGATTAGCCGACTCCATGTCAAAACACATCTGAATTTCTCAATATTATATACAAAATAAGGTTTATAGTACCTATACATATAATTATTTGCAGATAGACAGAATGGTAAAGGGATAAAAGTAAATATTCTGCTCACAAGTGACACTACAATTATGGAAGGAATTGTGGGTGATTATTTCTAAGCTGACAAGGAAGGTAGCCCTACTGGTAGTGTTCTACTCCTTGAGCTCCTGTGAAGGTTTCCTTTGGGTAAGTTGTCAATTGAATACGAAGTTTTAGCAACCACAGAGGGCTGTTCTGACATACAATATTATTTGCACTATAATTGTCTTCCCCTTTTCAGAATGTTTTCAAAACTTTTGATATACTGGTATGCCTGTTGAAATAATTCCATATGAAAACCATAGCAGTTTCCTCCAGATTATCTTTTACACTCCAGCTAGGAACAACTTGTGTGTTGCTAAACTTTAATAAGGGTGTTGATGATCAGAAGGAAAATATTATTTACCTGAGTACCTAAGGCTGAGGGAGAGAAGAGGACAATTGGAATACTTATTCTTTGCCCCATAATTTGATCTTGAAAAATGCCGATAATATGGATGATTCATGGTTCTAAGACAACAGTCAAGAATAGGATCTTGTTAAATACATTTAAACTAAGATATAGTCCAATATTCCAGAATCCTTCCATAAATAATAAGCTCTCACTAGTTTCTGAAAGGTTACAGTCTCAGGTCATGGTCATGCCTTTTGTCAAGAAGTGATACTGAATAGGATTAATACTATTTATCAGATAGAATTAAGCCCATTACCTCTGGATGTTGATCGTTACAGTAGTCCAGAAAATACTACTAATTATTTTGGCATTGCGAGTTTGCTAGACCCTCACGGATGAAGGAGCAACACTTACCCTCCATGATCAACGCACAATCGGGTGCTACAAGGACACCTCAGCTACAAAACAAGCCAAACCTCTAGGTATATGGACAAGTTAAAAGAGATAGGTCTCCAGGGGCATGCAAAACAGTGTGTCACTTCCAACATCAATATTACCGTATGTTAATCTTCCATAGAATATAGACATGAAATGATCAACCCAGGAAGCTTTTTAATTTCAGGTAAATACATAATCAGCTAAAGAAAATTCAATCATACCAAGTTTTCTATTCACTTGAATTTATGACATTGTTCAATATGTCCTCTTTAAAAACGCAAACCCATGATCTATAAGAACCTTGAAAATGGAAATCCGAGATCAATAAGAAGCTTTACAGAGGAAACATGACAACAATAATATCCTGGACATTTTTAATGGAAAAGTTATGCAAGTTAGAGACATGATGAGGCCAAGGAAAAAGGCATCAAAGGCAGGGACATTTCCCACCCAAACATGCTCCAAAACCTGATGCACAAACATAAACTATCACTGAAGTTTAAAGAGACTAACAAGCTAAGAGCTGCATATCCTTAGCACATAAATTTCAAAGACTAGCATGACGCACAAGTGGCATTAATTTGGTTGTTGAGTTGGTATCCCACACATAAAGATTTAAATAATTCAAGCAAATTAATTCTGATTTGCCAGCCACAAAGATAAAGTTCCTAAAGAAATGCCATTCCAATTTAGCAAAACATAATCTCCCCTGCCGATTGAGCAGCTGAAGCCGCATTGAACTTCCATTCAGGATCTATGACCCAGATGTAACAATATCTAGAAGTCAGGGCCAAAATGAACAGAGTGAATAACTAACATCTTCTGAACTAATCATCATATCAAGGTTCATTAACATTGAAACTACCCAAGAGCACATCACAGATCAAATTTCAACATCTTTTATCAGACCTCATCAACAGGAGTACCCGAGAGTAAGTGTACACTTCTAAGATAGACACAAAAATAACCACGCAAGAGAAACACTACCGTTTGAATACTCAGCCAAACTCACATTAATGTAAGGGTTTGATTTTGAAAAAACATCGACCAAATGCAATTCTGTGTTAAGTTTGATCCTTGTGCTCCAGTTTTACATCAAAAAAATAATACAGTAACCTATATCAACATTAACTAATAATATAAACTGCTACAGAAAATTATACAAGTTAATCTGACATGTGAAAAGGGTAATATGTAACTACCTCCACAAATCACATAGATCGAAAATTTAAATTACTCACAAATCAATCTACAGTACAGAGTAACAAAAAAGTGACGGAATCAACTACTATCAAAGGAAACAATAATTCAAACTATTTGAGAACCCCACAACCGAATTAAAAAAGGAGAGAGATGGAAATTGAAACTGAAATCGACAACACTCACACGGAAATCGGAGGAGAAGGCGAAGTAGCGATAGAGAGTGCAAAAGTGCAAGGAAGAGGAAGTGAGGAGAGTGAGGTTGCAAGGGGAATTGAAGACTCGAATTGCCCTTTGAACACGAAAACTTGTGAGACCTTTTTCTTTGGCCTTTTCGTTTTTTTTTTTCTTTCTTTTTCTTAATTGCAGAGGTTCTCCACAAAAAAACTTAGGGGACACGAAATCGCAGGCGAGAAGTTGTTTTTAAGAAAATTAATAATAATAATTAAAAAAATGCAATTATCTTATTTATTTTATGCTATGTGTAACAAATCATCTCTAATTTTAAAAAATATTTTTACCATATTTTGATATTTCTAATAAAATAACATCTCTTATAGAATAATAAAAAAAATAAAAGATAAAATTATGTATATATATATATATAACATATTTAAATTAAACTCATAAAAAAAGTTTTTAAAATAAAATACTCTTAGATGTTAGAGTAGCCTATACAAGTTCTTAAAAGTAAAACTTCAAAACAACTTAAAAAACAAATTACGTGTATAATATGTTTACCATTAAGTGAATATATTATAAAATAAAAATAAAGAAAACCTATGTTTCATTACCTATAACCTCTTATTTCTGATTAAAAATATGTTCACCTAAAAATTTACAACCCAAAACAAAACAAATAAAAGTATAAAATAAAAAATTAAATGTAACTAGATTCACAAAGTCTTCATGGTACCAACACATAATTAATAGACTTAAATGCATTAATACTCTTATTTATAAATATATGTGACAACCTTGCATAAGAAGTCATCTAAGAGCATTGGATTAAATTATGAATACTCACAATCAACTCTTAACTAGAATAATTCTAATTAATTAGGAGAGTTTCCTACTCTAAAATTGTTAAGTTAAAGTTATAGAAACATTTTTTTCATAATGTTAAATCATTACTTAGATATTTCATATAAATTATTACCCACTAAACAAATATTTAGAATTATCAAAATAAATCACATGAAATCACGTTATTATAACTTCCAAACATTTCAACCACAGAGCACAATTACATCTCAATATATACCTCGTATATATATATATATATATATATATATATATATATATATATATATATATATATATATATATATATATATATATATATATATATATATATATAAGGTTTACAAATAAAAAAATAGTATTTTGGATAATAATTTTTCACTTTCTCTTATATTTTTATGTTTTTTTATTAAGTATAAAAAGTAATTTCTAGAATTATATTCATACGATTTTATTATTTTGTTTTAAATTTAATAAAATTATATATAATTCTTAGGTTGACCTTAACAATTATTTCATTCGTTTACTATGTTTAAAATATAGGAAATCACAAACTTTTATTCTAATATTGATTGCATGACATTTGCTACGATCATTATCATAAGTTAGTAAAATATTTTGTAGTGAAATGAACATCATTAGTTAGCTAAAATTTAGTTTTAATGAAGATTATTTCTTCTATTTTTCAGAAAAATTTTAGGCATTAAATAGGACCTCACTCAAAGTTCTAAAAACAATATGAACAAGTAATTGAATTATGACTTATTAGAGTTATATACTAGAGTTACACATCTTTTATTTTATCAAGGACTAAGGGGGGTCCCTGTAAGACCCTATGAGTGGTTCTTATATCTACTAACATTTAAAACTATGATCCTAATGTTTTAAAAATAATACAAATTAATAATTAAATTATAATTTATGGGAATTAAATTTATAACATTTAAGTTACACTTAATAAAATTCTATTAAGACTTAAGAATTATCTCTTTATAGACAATTTTTATAAGTTTCCAGGATGAAGCATTCTTCGTCCTCATCCTCATCTCAAATGATATTACACTTTGATATGTAATATATCTTATCTAAAAATCGTTGTCCAAACTCTTCTAGTTTTGTCTCCCAAATTTATTCAGAAATTTAGAAACTAATCAAATGTATAATAAAAATAACTTAAAACTTATTTATATACTAATTAATAGGGTTAGAATTCTAAAGATAAGTTCAACTTACTTTTAACTTTTATCTCCCTTAGCTTTCTCATTTTAACTTTAACTTCGTAATTTTCTCTAACAATATATCTTATGTTATGTTTTATAAAATATTTTTATTTTATTACCTAAGTGCATTCAATAATTTAATTAATCTAAATAAATAATTGTTTTTTTAGCTTTAAAAAATGGGACATTAGAAACTTTTTTTTATTTAATATATCTCGGAATTTACTTATATCAGATAAATCATGATAAACTTCTTTCATCTTGCTTTGATCTCAAATGGCATCCTCAAAAGTGGTATTTTTTCCTCTTTAAACAACCTTAACTAAGGGAATTCCACTTCCTTTTACTTGTTTAGTCATGTGGTCTTCAACACTAATTATTAAGGTTTTCAAAAGTTAAGTTCTCTTATTGATGATGGACTTATATATATATATATATATATATATATATATATATATATATATATATATATATATATATATATATATATATACATTTAATAAATTATAAACATATTTACAAAGTTAAGACACGTGAAAATATTAATATGATTTAACAAATTAAAAGGTAAAGAAAATTGGTAAATCATTTCACCGATAGACTCTTTTTAGAATATGATAAGGGTCACTTAAATTAGACATAATTTTAAATTTTAGAACTCTACAAATCATAATTTGTATTATAATACCTGATTTTATTTTTAAATTTGAGTTTTTCCTCTTCTTATTAGTATAACTTATTATAAGATGTTCTCGTTTATTTTGGATATTTTATCTATTTTATAATTTATTGTACTATAAGTCTTAAAACAAAATTTTTAATAAGTCAAAACCAACACAAAATGTTTTATTCCTTTTTCCATATACAACTTTATAATATCATCATAATATTGAAATAATAGTTACTCTATTAAAATCACAAAACCAACTATATTACTCAAATTCTCAATATATCTTTATATTTTTTTTATTGATCATCAATAAACTTTTTTTTCATATTTGATCCCTATCCTTAAGTTCCATTATATTAATGTTGAAGTAATAATTTCCAAAAATTAAATCCCAAATAATATTAACAAGTCAATAAAAAAACATAATATAAAATTAAAATACTTAATATTCAACACTTAAAAGATCCATAATATTTTTCCACTCACGATCACCAATATTATTTCAAATCCTAAAAGATAACAATAATATTTAAACAATCAAAATTACATAATTGATAAGATCAAAATTAATAACACATTCAGATGTTTTGTCCATAAAGTTTCATTTCATGTAATGACCTATTTTGCCTATAAATAATTTTTAAAAGGAAGACTAAAGTCAAAATTAATAAGGACAATATATTTTTTTAAAAGAAAAATCCTTTATATATATATAAATATAATTTTGAAAATAAAATAAAACTTTTAGAATAACCAACCATGAGATCGCATGTTCCCTCCACCGATATGTTTTGTCCATTAGATTTCATTCATTTTATTATTATTGACTAAATTTAAATTATATGTGTTATTGTATTTATTTTGTGAAAACAAAGATACAAATTCTAACTTTAATTACACTAACCAACTAAAGACTAAAAAAAAACCCCAAAATCCTACACTGAATTAACGACATTAATAATAGGTTTATTAAAGAAAAAGAAAACAAAATCCAATCATCACATCAACATTAACGGAATTCAATGACACATACTAAATAAAAAAATATAATATATGAAAACCCAACTATAAAATTAATAAATTTATTAGAGATAAAAGAATTATTTGAGAAAAAATATTTAGAATTAATAACTATATAAACTGCTAAAATAACAAAATATAGTCGTAAGAACTAGATACATCCAATTCTTTTTATTATACATTTATTAAATAATTTTTTATAAAAAAAAAACAAAATTAGTAAATTTATCCGTTTTTTGATATTTGATATTTATTGGCATAAAAAAAAAAAACTTTAGAACGTAAACATTATCCTAAGTTTGGTGCCTAATCATGGTGAACTTGCACCCAATGTCACATCTATAGCTAAATTTTTACCAGTAAAGATCTGAATTGTCTAAAATGTCTCTTTTTTCTATTAAAACAAAACATGAAATAATGCTTCTTTTCTTTTTCAAACATGGGGTCCTATTTAATTCTAGAAGGTAAAATTTGAGGGACAAAATATAGTAGTAAAAATATGATCAATGCAGTTAAAACAGTCAAAGGATGATATTCATTCTCCAATAATCATTCTACAAACGTTGACTAGAAAAAATTGCTAAGAAAACTCATCAATCTTGGTGCAAGCAAATGCAACAATAGCACACGCAGCACCGACTAATTCACATCGAACTTCAAAGATCAAATCAAAGCTTCTGATTTGGTCATTCTGAGCACTGATTAGTCTTTATTGAATACTTGTTCATGAATCTGAAGCTGTTTTTTTTATTCTTTCTTTTCTTTTACCTTCTTTTTAAGTTCAGGTAGAAACCAGGATTTGGTTTCCTTGTAGAGGAAAATCGAAAGTCAAGCACAACCCACTAACAGCACCATGCAGAGGTGGAAGTGGAACAGAAAGAAACCCCCCATTTTCCCCTTCCTTGTGCTTATCTTACTGTTGTTCATAGCCTTCTCAACCCTCCACAGTGAACACGCCATACAACGAATCCATGAAATCCCAGATCATGTTCATAATCACCAAGAAGTTTCTTCAGCCACCTTTGTCAAACCCAACTTCTCTGGTCACCGCAAGCAAGCACCAGGTATGGCCTTTCTCTTCACAGCTTGCTTTGTGCTTCTTTGGTAAATTTTAAGCTTTGTGTGTTTAGCTTGTGCTTTCTCTGACTTGTTGAAATGGGATTGTTCGATTTTAGAGGTTTTGGATAGATTCAGTAGATGCAACTCCACTGTTGAGTATAGTGGCAAGAAAATTGCTTGGCGTGGTGATTCTAGGCAGTCTGGTCGCCGGAGAGTTAGGTCGGAAAGCTGTGATGTTTTTTCAGGCAAATGGGTGTTTGATAATGTTTCACATCCACTGTACAATGAGTCAGATTGCCCTTACATGTCTGACCAATTGGCCTGTCACAAGCATGGAAGGTCTGATTTGAGTTACCAGTATTGGAGATGGCAACCACATAACTGCAATTTGAAGAGGTGGTTCTCTCTCTGAGCTCTGTGTTTGCGTTTTTTATCTGTTTGTCAACATGCTCAAGTTATTGTTTTGGACTTAGAGCTTGTTTGGAGGAAACTTCTTTGAAAACATCTAAGATTCACTGAATTCTTGTATAAAACAGTTGGAATGTGAAAGAAATGTGGGAGAAGGTGAGAGATAAAAGGCTAATGTTTGTTGGAGACTCACTAAATAGAGGGCAATGGATATCAATGGTATGTTTGTTACAATCAGTAATCCCTGCAGATCAAAGATCAATGTCACCAAATGCCCATCTCACCATTTTCAGAGCAGAGGTAAGAAGCCTGTGCTGGAAACATCTTTATGATGTTTATAAATGTTGTCCTCTATGCCATATGTGCCTTTTTCCATTATTCCACTGAATTTCTTTATCACATTGCATGTTCCAAGACTTGGGTTGATGTGTTTCGGTTCACAACGGCCAGTCATGAGTCTCATTTCCAGCACACTGCTAATTTTTGTGCTAATTTTCAGGAGTACAATGCAACTGTGGAATTTCTCTGGGCTCCTCTGCTTGTTGAATCTAATTCTGATGATCCAGTAAATCACAGACTAGATGAACGCATAATTCGTCCTGATACGGTTCTTAGACACGCATCATTGTGGGAAAATGCTGATATTCTTATTTTTAACACGTACTTATGGTGGAGGCAAGGCCCAGTTAAGCTATTGTATGTATAATATATCAGTTCATCAGTATGCAACTTGTTATTTAAGGAAAAATTTGTCTTCTCTATTCAATGGATATTGTATTTTCTTCTATTGCAGATGGACTGCTGAAGAAAATGGAGCTTGTGAAGAATTGGATGGGCGAGGAGCCATGGAGTTGGCCATGGGAGCCTGGGCAGAATGGGTATCTTCTAAAGTTGACCCCCTTAAGAAGCGTGTCTTTTTTGTGACCATGTCACCAACTCATCTCTGGTGAGCACCCAATCTAATTTTGTATGATCAAATGCTATGGCAAAACATTGCATTATGCATTCTTGGACATGGACATTTTTCCATAGGTTATATTATGATCACATAGTTAGAGGGGAAAACAATTTTTGCTGGTTGGACTAGACTGACTTTGTTCTGCTTTCTTAGAACTTGTAGCAGAATTATATTAATAATTATCATTCACCTTAACTGTGTTTTCATTTGGATAATCCAATGCAAATTCCATGTCGATTACAATTTACCTGTTATAAATAGAGTTTCTAATTCCATGGCTTCAGCTACTCCCCACCACTTCCGTGAAAGTTCATCTCACACAATGTCGTGTCAAGATATATTAGTCCTTATCTTATTAAGGGAGTCTAACTCAGTTGGTTAAGCAAAGTTTGGACGTTGTTGTAATCTTTCCGTTTCGTGTTCAAGGTTGTCAAACTCAAAAAGAGTTTTGGAGCTTCTGCCTACCCGACTCATATAGTTGATTCTTAAACTCTCTAAACTGTAAACTGTTACGAGTTTGCGTTGATTCCAAATCCATTAACTTGCTTCTTGACTTGAGTGTTTATGCGAGTATATCCATTCAAGAGTTTGACAATCATGTCTGTGTTTGATTCCTATGAATAAAAGAAAAGATATATTAGGTCTTGGTTGGCTCAGTTGGTAAGAATCACTGCACTGACCCATGAAGGCTTGGTTTGATTCCCATTGTTCACAATTTCCCTTGGTAGGTGATAAGTACCACCACTGAAGCTCTTTCTGAGGCATGCTGCCTTTAGCATGTAGCCATTGGGGTAGCATCCCTGCCTTAAACTTAATTTAAATCCACCAAAAAGATAAATTGTATTGGCTACCTCTCAGATTCTTGAATCTGACCGAAAGGAATCTTAGATGCCAATTGGCCATTACCTAGTGATCCCTGCTGGTATGTATGACATAGGTTCAACATTGATTCAAACTACTCTTACCTTCTCCCTTCTCCCAGTCCAATTGAAGAATGACACCACCCTCAACAACAACAAAAGCCTTATCATCAGGTGAGATAGACTACATGGACTAAATGGATCAGATGACACCCTTGAGCTCGGTTAAAGATCAATTTCTCAGGGATTCACTATGACATCCCTCTTAACAAATGGACAAATGAATTGATTCCATTCAACATCCCCCCTTTTCATATGAAAATTAGATATCAAATGTAAGTGTTTCTTTTTTTATTAACAAGTGACTTGGTTTTTTCTCATATCTCTTGACATCCAGTTATCTCATGCTCTATATTTTTTCACCGAATTGAACACTATTATCATCCAGGAGCCGAGAGTGGAAACCAGAAAGTGAGGGAAACTGCTATGGGGAGAAGGACCCTATTGACATTGAGGGCTATTGGGGAAGCGGTTCAGATTTGCCTACAATGAGCACTGTGGAGAAGATTCTAAGCAATTTGAGTTCAAAAGTTTCTGTCATCAACATTACACAACTATCAGAGTATAGAAAGGATGGTCATCCTTCCATTTTTCGCAAATTTTGGGAGCCCCTTCAGCCTGAACGGTTGTCAAACCCCTCATCTTACTCTGATTGCATACATTGGTGCTTGCCTGGTGTACCTGATGTGTGGAATGAGTTGCTATTCCATTTTCTATAGATGTTGTTACGTTATTCATTTTTCCTTATTGAATATATAGCAGCCAATGCCTGAATTTTGAAGAGTGGCAAAAGTTGCTTCTATTTGCTGTTTGCACACCAGGGTATACTGCTTCTGACAAGTGAATGCTGAAAATTTAGAGGCCACAATACTCGTGTGCCACGTTAAGGAAGGGACATAAAACCAAGGTAATTGTTTAGCAAAATGACAGCTGACACAAACATAAAAAATTTCATAGATAACACAGACAAACTTGTTCTTAATCACATCTATAATGTCAAAGGTTTAGACTATTAATGGAAGCCAAATAAACTGTAGTAAATTCAGTGTGATGGATTTTTGGTTTTATGATATAAATTGAAAAGAAAACACCTGTGTAAAGCCTGTCATGAATATTAGTTGAACTGATATTTTCAAGTTATTCTTGTCCTTAATTTGGAATGAATTAGATGTGAAAACACATGAAAGATTAATAGTTAATTTTGAAATATATAGAAAATTGTTTCTAAATAACAGAAACAACTTTGTTTCTATTGGGTAATATAACATAAATGGGTTTAATATGATGAAATAAAAAGTAAAATCAAGCAAATAGGAACAAATATGATCAGTGATTCAACTATCCAGAACCTAGAAACTAAATGAGGAAAATACTTTACCAGATTTTGTAAAAGTAGCATATGGACTAAGACTCGGTTAAACTTGGTTTGAGACATGACTGTTTTTAAAGTTTTATGATTGTTCTAAGAGTGTTATCAAGTCTTGATATTATTCGTGAAACCATTTTGTTGAAATTTCTTGTCTCAAGATTGAGATTTTGAGAAGAGTTAATATCCATTGTTGAATGAAATAGAATAAAACAACAAAATTGATGGATACTACACAAACATCTTTTTGTTGTTGTTTAAGTAAAAATAAAAGTTCTTTTATAATGTTAAAAATCTGTATACTATTTTTCCTTTTATTTATATAAATTTTGACAATAATTAATTAAATAAATAATGACTATCATGAGTTTAACGCGTTGAGTTTTTAAGACTAGAATATTGATTAAGAGTGTTTAAATTATTTACAATGTCATTATAAAAATGTTTGTATAGTATTCATGCAATATAATTCTATATACATTTATTGATTTTTAAAAAAATGAGAAAAGAAAATATAAGTTTCTGAGCAAACTTGGTAAGGACAAGTTTGATTGTAAGATTTCTAATCATTTGAAAACCAATTAAACAGGTTTAATCGAAAATTGATCTAGAATTACTTTCAAATAATCAGATTTTAATTAAATCTAAGAAAAAAAATTGAATCAATTTTAATAAAAAAAATTGAATCAATTTTAATAAAAAAAAATTAAAATCAATTTTTTTAATATAATTTTTTATAAATGATATAATATTTTTTTTATCTCATATTAATTATATCAACTTTAAATAATAATTATCATATATATTTTTATCTTATTTTAACACTTATTTATTTTATTATCTAAATCTTATATTTATAATTTTTATTAAAATTTTAAGTAATTATAGTAATAATCTTTGTTATTATTATTTTCTTTTGTAAAAAATCATTCTTACTAGTAACGGGTACGATTTTAAAAATATTATTTTTAATTCATCATAAAATAATATAGGTAGAAGTTATTCATTTTTAAGACTTAACCCCTTTATCATCCTATATATAATGAATATGTAATAATTTGAAATATATAAAAAATAATTTTTATAAAAAAAATCATGAAATCTGAATATAAACTTAAACAGAGAAAATCACATAAAGAAAAAGACAAAAGTGGTTATATGTATAAAATTGAACAAAATGTAGTTGTTGATAGATAGTATTGTATTCAGTCATAATCATCAAAAAGGGAAGCATATTCTGCCAACTCTTCAGGAGACAAGTCCTCCATGGAAAAATCTCCAGAATCAAGTTCTACTTCTCTGCAGGTTATTCTTTCCAGTGTGTACCTGGTAGGTCTTCCTAAGACATCGTGATCATAGAATCGTTGCAAAATCTGAATGGCATTGTCATCTCTCTCAGTGCCTTCGTAGATGTAACAGGATATGATATGGTGTATCTCCCCTCCAGGACTCCACCCAAAAGGTACATCATATGATATATTCATCTCTATACTCATCGTAGGTAAACCTTCTACAATAAACTTCAAGTAATGAAAAATTTGTAATTGTCTGAAAACATGGTTCCTATTCAGTCTTGATCTCGCTTCCACTAGTGTCACTGTTCTCATTTCTGTTGCCATAATTATTTCCTGAAAAATCAATATAAGGATAAATCTCTTACCTTTATTTACAATACAATTTCAAATGCTCCCAACATAACTTTACAAGGATATGATTTTTTTTTTCCTAATGAAAATCAGAAGTGAAGAAGAGAAAATGCAGTAGACTAGACTCTATAAATCACAGGAACAAACCTTTAAAGAATGAAAATAAAGATTTGATCTTTTTTTTTTCCCTTTTGTAGAGTGAATGCTGGGAATAGAAAAGAGAAAGGTAGAGAAGGTGATTGTTTTATGTAGTATTTATAAAAATTTGATTGCTTGCATGGGAAGCTTTTTACACTCCAATTTGGGCACGACCACTTATGAGAGAGAAAGAAAAATATCCTCTTGTCAAGAGTCATGAGCAAATTTTCATGAAAAAGGCCAAAGATTTAGTGAAAATTTTGTTCCATCATAAATAATAAAATTATAATTTGATCTTGAAATATACTACTATTCACTTATTTTGTTTCTTTTTATGATCACAGATACTTCATATAAAAACTATTAGAACGAATAATAATTAAAATTAAAATGTTATTATATAGAATTTAATATTTGAATAATTATCTTTAAAGAACTATTATTATTATTATTAATATTATATTTGATATATAAAATATATAAGTTATTAAATATTATCTTTAATATGGTTATAATTTATTTGTTAATAATAAATTAATAATTTTTTAATTATATTCTGAATATATAAATATAATAATAGAAATAATTCTAAATTTTCTATCAATTTCTTACTAATAAAAAATATCTTCAACAATTTTTTTAATGTTAAATTTTTGCTTCTCATATCATACTTTTTTTTTCATAAAATATTGAAAGAAAAAGTTATAAAAAAATTATAATAACATGATTTTTGTTCTTGACTTTAAACAGATATTAGACTAACAAGATATTTGATATGAAAATATTCAAGTTTGATGCAGTGAAAATCCACATAGATCTCAATCAAATTAGATCCTGATTTTTTTTTAAATAACTAAGATTATAGTTTCAATATTCTACATAAAAAAAATAATAGCAATAAATACAAAATCAGTGAATGTTTCAAATAAAAAAATAAATTTATGAATTTTTTTTATTAATTAATTAGTCATTTTTTTAAGTATAAGAATTAAAAAAAAAAATTACATAGACTAAGTGAAGATTGTAGCTCCTACTAAATAAAAGTGGGGATCTTACCAATAACACATACACTTTGATAAGAAGAAAACAGAGAAAAAAACGACAATAACATTAAAGAAAGAATATTCATCTTACCACAAATTAAACTTCACAAGATTAAATAGGTTGAGTCTTTAATATAAATTCTTAGAATGAATAATAATTAAAATAGGTTGAAATGTTATTATATAAAACTTAAAAATACCTACGTTTTAAGATAAATATATAAATAATTATCTTTTAAAGATGATTTTTATTATTAATATTAGATCAGATATATATAAAATATTTGAATGATCAAATAATATTTTCAGTGATTTATTGATAACTAATTTATAAAATCCTTAATTTATATTTTAAATTTAAAAATATCATATATTAGAAAATATAAAATAATAATAAAAATAATTGTAATTTTTTTATACTAATCATCTTGCTAAATAAAGAATGTCTTATGTAATATTTTTTTCATTAAATATTAAAAAAATCTGTAAGAAAAATTATAAAGTGATATTTTTTATAAATTATTTTACTATTGATTTTAAACTGATATTGGAATAATATGAAATTTTGACACAGTGAAAATCAAAATTAATAAGTGGATCTGAATATAATTGGATTAGGATATTTTAAATAATTAAGATTTCTAGTTTCAATATATATATATATATATATATATATATATATATATATATATATATATATATATATATATTATAGCATGTTATCCTATTTTAATAAGTTAAACTTATATGTTTATATTAATTTTAAATAATACATATTATTATTAATGTGTTATATATAGTACTATTTTTACTACTATAAGATTAAATTTCTAAATTGATATGTTTTATTAATAAAGAGAATCTGTACGTGTAATTATTTTTTATATATATTTTTCTTTAACTTTTTCAAAAATGAATTAATTTTATTTTTAACAGTCTTTTAATACACATGTGCATATCTGTATATAGACATATATATATATATATATATATATATATATATATATATATATATATATATATATATATATATAATTAGATATGAAAGTAAGATTTCTTTAATAATATCGAAGAGAAAAATATAATATATATCTATATTATAATATATTTTTTCTCTCTAATTTTAATAACATAAAATAATAAAAAATATAATTTCTTTTTTACCTTCTCATTTGTATTTCCTTCTTAGTTTCTCATTTCTTATGTGACAATTATTTATTATTTAAATTAATATATATATATATATATATATATTAAATTTTAATAAATAAAAACAATAATAAATATACATATAGATAAGTACTAACATTGATAAGCTCACCTAGTTTTGATTTATTTCGTCTTTGACTTGTGGAAAAAAATCGGACAAACTTAGTTCGTCATAATTAGGATGAACCATAAACTTGTAATTATTTTTTTATATTAAATTTTATATGTATATTTTAAAATATATCTTTAATTATATGAATAATTTTTATATTTTTATTTATTAATTAATATTTATATAATATTATAATACATTTACATATTTTAATAACATAATAAAAAAATATAAATATTTTTAATTATAATTCTTTTTATTTTTATTTTAATATATAAATATTTTTAAAACAGGTCAATCTATCTCATCTCATCTTTGACCCAGTAATATTACGGACAAGTCAAAATGGACTAATAAACTAAAACCACCAATCGCGACCATGTTTTAGCGAGTTGGCAGTAAGATTTGTCATCTTGTATTTTTTAATCCTATATAAAAGAAAATTTTCTTTCTATAATATTTTTCATGTCGTTAAGGAGAAAAGAAATAAAATTAATTATATGTATGTAATGAAACATGTGCTTCCCTTTAGTATAAATGAAGGGAAATTTTCTTCTTCTTTTTAACTAATTTTGTAACATAAGATACGGTAAAAAAAATATTTAAAGAAATGAATAAAATAAAAATGTATGTTATAGTACCATACTTCCATTAATATATAAATAAGGGAATTTTTGTAATAATCCGCAAATTCTACTTAAAATTTTTACTAAAGAAGGAAGGAAATTACTGAGAGGTATAATAGTTCAGTTTATAGTCATCCAGAATAGTTGAAAAACATCACATATCAAAAGTCATAATTACATTAATGTTTTACGCATGATTATATAACACAAAATAACTTCTTCAAATTCAGGAGGTCTCTACTCCATTTCTCAAATTACTGGGTCTTACTACCACCTGCAGAAGATTTGGAATATGCTCACGTGTATAACACGATCATAGCAGGATTCCAAAAGATCAAGCACACAACAAGGGTAAGCTACCATTTGATTAAACATGTAGAATAGTGTAACATTGCAAACGACACTTACTCATTCACAAACATCCTAAGGCTAGACTCACCAGAGAGTCTAGCATCCTACAATTACAACCACACAACAAGACTGACGCTTACCGAAAACTATATGGAAATCAGACCAGTAAGACAGACACCTGATGAAGAATATTTAGGGTCCTAGACCCTTAAATTTTTTATGACCCTAAGCCTATAATATCATTTTTCAACCTCTCATCAGAGCAACACACGCATAGGATTGACGCTATATTGTGTCTCCATCGACTTCCCACCACAGATGTATTCGTCTATATGACTAGGAACATCTTGCAAGTCTGGATGCTCTATTATGCCTATTTATAATTCCATACACACTATTCTATACAGTACATCAAGTCTATCACTCAATGACTATCATAGTTTTCCTTTGGTTCTTACAGCCTATATTCTCACATTATCAGGTCTTAGTACCCTTCACATTTCATTTTTAACTCATGTTTAACATAGAATAGTTAAAAGATGCAACAAAACATCAATAAACCAATTGTGGGTGACATGTTGTTAGTGTAATCAATTACAACTGGTTTGGTAATCGATTACCAGAGAGAAATTGGATTTTTAATTCCCTCGTCAGTAATCGATTACCACATCACTATAATCGATTACACCCTACATAGTCAAATTATGCAGATGCGGTATTTCAACAGAACACAATTAGTACAACTCAAAATTTCTAGAATCAAACCAATATTATGCAGTTCACAATGTCCAGCCCAACATTCAATTTCTCAACTTCTATGTAATCACAATTTACTTGGAACGGTACATCCTTTCTCCTTTAAACCAACACAGACCAACCATACAGTTTAGAAACTCAATGATACAAAGATATCTATTTCAGCCAATCTATTTTAAAACAGTTTATACAACAAGATTTTCCACAAGTGCTCTCAATATCATATCACATACAACACTTATATATATAACACAAGCATACTCATTATTCACTTAATTTAATTTTTAATCAATACATTACAACTAGTAAGGAAAATTGGCTATTATACTCACTCAACCATATACTCTACTAAATCAATTTTAAACATTATTCAACTAGCTTATCAAGACAGCACAAACTCTTAATTTATATCTAAAACAACTAAAGTTCATGGTTCACTTTAAATTCTAAAATCTTCATTCACCATCAATGCAAGGATTAATAAAACTTAAAATTTCAGCACAAGTAAAAATCAAAGAAGCTTCCCTTACCTGTGGGTGATGCTACACGTGAACCTAACTCCAACAAAGTTTTAAAAAGCACCAAAATACCTAAGAAGTACCGTTCTCCCCCAAT